TTGCCGCCTCTGTGTGTTGTTTTACGTGCATTTAAATAAGATAAACTCTTATTCTGCTCGACATTTTGGTAAAAATTCGATGAAAAAAGGAGAAGAAAATATTTTGAGCCTCATCTATTTTCAAAACGTTGCACCCAATATGATTAACGACAATCACGACCATCAAAACCTTTCAAGCTTAAAATACGTTGACAGTCACGATTGTCGGAAGAAAAATTATTGCACATTTATCTCGACCTCAGCAAACGCTCCCTTTGTGTTGAATGTAATTGGTTCCTCTCTACATCAATAACCTGCCGTGGGATGTTATTAAAATCAGAACGAATAGAATGGATGAATGGAAAAAAAAAGTTTAGAATTTTAGGTTACATTAAGATACACTATTGTGCAAAAGACACGTAAAGAAATTTGAGCCTGTATAAACCGCCCGTATAAACGTGTATCCACGTTGTTCCTAACACTGTGCGCCTATCATATACAAGGCTTGATGACACATGTTCAGTGAATAAATTTTAATGTAATTGTTTTGGGGAATGATGCAATCAACTGAAAATTTCTCATAAAGAAAGTCATCTGTAGACTGCTATCAGTATTAGTGTTGTGCATCAATAAACCTCCCATGCCATTACTTATTTGACGTTAGCCACCCTGATCATGAACTGGAATCATCTCTTTAGCGGTCATTGGATATCGGACTCCTCAGCGTTACTTATTCTTGAGAGTGCGATTGAGTGTTATCAAATTCACCTATCTATAGTAGTATTCCTTATTCTTATTATTTTGTTTTAGATCACAAAATGACTTTATCTGAGACCGAAGTTCAACAAATTTTGAGTGTAACAACGAAAAGTGCTCCCAGTCATGCAAATCAGCAATGGAAGGTACTTATTTATAGTAATTGAACGGTTGTTTGCAATGGTCTGATTTTCGAATGTAACAATAGATGCTAGAGTGACTATGATGGTTTTTGTTGTTCGAGGCTATCCGATAGTTTTTGTAAACCTTCATTTGCGTGAAAATATCATTGACGCTGTTTTGGATTAAACATCACGGACAACAACTGGAAAGAGAACGTGTTACGAAAAAATGAAAATGTATGTGATAATCATTACAGTATTATTTTCTAGTTACCTGAAGACAAAGAAAAATCATTGATTGGTACAATTGCTATTGCAAATAATATTTTAAATGGAACACTAGTTGAAAGTAAGAAGAGTGAAGTATTGTTGAAGAGGTGTTTCATACCATTGACTCTCAAAGCGGTAAATCCGATTTTACATCTCTCTAATGTGACATGAGTTTGCGATATTCTTTTCAAATAAAACGAAATTTCTGACAGATAAAATGGTCTCCAAAACCTTTGCGTTTATTTTTATTCAGAAATGTCAATTGAAGAAAGTGAATTATTAAAATCTTGGCTTGTTTATTTCTCAAATTATAAACTTGATAAGGATGATCAGCAGAAAATTGTACTGAAGGTGAGATCAATTCGTATAATTGATGTTACAAACATCCTATCATTGTCTCTTCAATTTTAGCATCTTAATTCATTTCTAACATCTCATTCATACTTTTGCTCGACTAATAAACAAGAATTATCAATCGTCGATCAATTTATCTATTATTCTATTCGAAATATCATTGTGAGTAAAATTACCTTTATCTCTGACTTATTAGTTAAGCTCTATTGTAATTTTAGACACAATTACCATTTCAAGATAAAGCGCAATTTTTGAATCTTTGTCGATGGTTTAATCAAGTATGTAAATAACCAGTTTTTATTCTGTTTATCATGTTACAGCTTGACAGAAATAACATCAACATCTATGTGAAACATTTTTCTAATCTGGCGTCAGATTCTTATTTTTGCATATGTTTTATTTCTAGGTTAGTCATCATTCAATGTATTCTGATCATACAAAGTCATGTTTTATGAGAACAAACATCTACAATCTTCCAAAGCAGTTATAAATTTTTTACTCTAGATATTCTTCTGTTATCAATTATTTATCAACAGTAAATCTTGTTACCATTTTTTATCTTTAATTTAAGCAAAATGTATTCCGAGAAGGTCAGTCGTTGTTTGTTTCTCTGAAAAATAACAAGAAATTAAGAAAATACGAGAAATTTCATTAAACTTTTCCAAGCTGAAATAAAATTAGATTTACAGTACGACTAGTTTGTTCGTTTGACTAACACAAGATATACTTTGTTTTTTAACAATATCTTATAAAGAAAAGGTACATATTTTCTAATAGTTTTTATAAATATTCACCCAATTGTTCTTCTCATACGCTTCTTCGTAAAAATGTTTTTTGTCGCATCGTTAGAATTCTTATTGCAATCAATGTTGTACACGTACAATTAATCATTATCACTATCTTCAAAAATATTCAATAATGATTATTTCAGTTTCATATTAACACTAAAATTGTTCGGGACTACTTCGAATTAATTCTTGTTTTTTAGTACTCTGTTAAAATTCTGTTCAATTGTATTGCCACTTTGTGTAACTAAATTTTTGTTGTTTACCATACACATCTCTTAGGCACAACGGGAATTCTTGGATGATATCTTCTTATAATCGATAAATTTAATACAATTAACCAAAGAATTTTTTTATTTAATATATTGTTAATCGTCGAATATTCTTGACAAGTGTATTTGTCGAATTTGTATTCTGCTCGATGTATTCAGTTAAACTCTGTTGACGCTTACGTAAAAGGAGATATTCATTCTTAAGTATAATGTCGAATGTTATTTCAGTCAATAAATTTGTTTTACAACCGCTTTCTAGACTAGTCACTGCACCGGTAGTGGAAACCAGTTCGAATTTTTTACGATTTAAGCTATTCTGTAACTAATAGTGGTGGTAAAAACGAATTTAATCAGCTAAACAAAGTTGAGGTTAATAATCGAAATCGTGAAGTCATTTCTATTAAAATTCTTACCGGATTCTGTGATGATAATACTTATTGAAACTTAGAATTAGCTGATACAAAATAGAGTTACAAATAGATATTTTAATCCTGTAAACTTATTTAAATAAAGGATAATACTTCTTGCGAGAATTTATAATTGAACTAATTTTTATTAAAATGATTGTAATAATTGTCGTTGCTGTTGTTTTTAAACATTCATTTATCATACAGACATATCATGTAAAACTAATTTTAAACCATTCTTTTACTCTTCATCTTTGAGTACCATGAATAACTATCTTGCACTTTCGTTTCCAAACATATATGGTTATTGTAAATGAGTTTTCATTTGAAAACTATTGGATAAAAACTTCTCTTCCAAATGGTGAATATTTGGCTTCAATACCGAGATCGTCTCTTATTAAATGTTCAGTCCAGCGATTTGAGCCGCAGAGAACTAAAACTACTCAAATTTCTTTGTTTATAGTCGCAAAAATATGCTCTTCTATTCAGCTCACATGTGGAATATTTTGTATTACTCATGATTATTTCTTTTTATAGATGGTTGATTCTAAGAAGGATAAGATTAGTATTGAATTAGATAAACTTATTTCTGAAGTTCATGTTTGTATAGACAAATGTCATACTATGCATTCAATACCTGGAATGGCGAAATTAGAACGAAAATTTCAAGCTGAAAACAAGTTTCTCAAATCTGTTCGTATATCAATAATTATGTTCTAAATGTTGATATTCATTTACTCTGTTTAGCTTTGTGATGGACGACGTGTTGCAAATGAAAATCACATAAGAAGTTCAAATTTAACACATTTAAAAGCAATTATTGAACAAGTCGAAATAATTGGACTCGATCGAATCGATGGTGTAAGCATTTCTTTTATACTTGTTGTTTCCTAAGCAAGTGTATCTATATATATGTGAATAGATTTTAGTGCCCTTTAAAAATCGTACAAATCAACTACTTATTTGTGATATTCTTTATAATGAATCGCGATCATGGATGAAAGTCATTGCACGCAATGCTCAAGCATTACATCTCATATGGCGAGGTATATTGTTTGAAGAGTGAACAAATATAATTATAATCAATACTTTTATTTTAAGGGAATGGTCTATATGGTATACGAAGCGTTATTAATCCTATGAATCAATATCTCGAAACAGCAAAAGATAATCCGATTAACTATCAAACACCGGAAATCGTCTTTTATTTTGTTCAAGGGGTGACATTACCATTAGCAGAATTTTTAACAAATAATGGTATTACAGTTAAAGTAAGACATAACTTCTAAAATTAAATTGAAATCACAATGTTACTGTTTTAGGGAGAAATCGTAACTACAAGTGATGAGATAGAGAGGAGACTCCAACTTTTCCATGACGATAGTGGTAATAGTGACGAAGGTGAAGAAGAAGAAGAAGAAGAAGAGGTTAACATCGAATCGGATAAAAATAAAGTCGATTTTCCTATTGATTTAAATTCAACAATGTCTAAACTCAAATTGAATGAAGCTAGCACAACGAAACTTAATTTGGATGTTAGTACGTTGATATGTCTAGCCTCTGAATTGACACATGGTGGTCATGTGTATAAATTTGAAAATCGTTGGTTAGAATTACCAGCTGAATCAGAACGATGTCGACGTTTATTACCATTATTAGAAAATTATATGAAAGGTATTCTTCAATAAGTAGATATTTTTTAATGAATGTAAAACATGTCTGTATTTCTAGGAAAAGAGTTGTACATATGTAAAACAGCCTACGATGAATTTAATGGTATTATACGAATAATAGGAGGACCAAATGAGAAAAAACGTGTCACAGAATTACTAGAAAAAGTTCGATTTCTCATTATTATAACACGATTTTTTTTACTAGTAGAGTTTTTTTTTCGTTATATTTAGATAACTTTAATACCCGATTGTCCATCAGAGCGCGCGATGGCTTTACAAGATAGTGTCAGAATAAAAACTAGGTAATCATTTATAGTTTAAGTCTTATATTTTTTATTGTCTAATCTAAACTTTCTGTATTATTTTAGAACAAAAATAATTTTTGGAAGTGGTGATACGATAAAAGCGATAACAATGACAGCAAATCGAGGATTCGTCCGAGCTGCAGTCGAACAGGTAACATTTCGCATAAAATTGATATTGAGAATGAATATATGGATGTGCTAATTAACGGCTTTATTTTATGTTTTAAGTTTTGTAACTTAAAACATCTTTTCAAAGTGCTCATTTTGTTATTTATTATTACAACTAACCGCCTTTGGCATTAGATAGATTTTTATACAAAAAAATCCAGCCATAAAGCATTCCATTAAGAAACGATCGTAACGTAAAAATGCAGCAGTGAACAAATTGAGTTTATGCATAGAAAGGTGTACAAATTATTTGATTAGCATAAATAAGATGAGCATTTTGAAAACATCAGTTTCATATCTTGTGAGAGAAGTGAGGATTCTACATGAACTGTTATCTTACGTGCTAATATTAACCAGTATGGTTTAAGAAAAAAATTTCTTTTATTTTAGGGTGTGTCGTTTGCCGTTTTTCTACACGAATCACGAGCTTTAACGGAAAAACATCAACCAACACAAGCAACATTAATCACCTAGAGAACTACGCCAATTAAGAAATAAAATCTCATCCACTTTTATTTTGTGTACAACTGACACTTTTTTTCCTATTCATATTCGAGATAAATTCTTCTCTTGTGTAAAAGTTGTTTCTTCTATATTTTTACCACTTTTATATTTAATACACGAGATTAATAAAAAATTGGAATTACAATCGATGTATCTCAAAGCGAGGATCCTGAATATTACATTACATGGTAACAAAACGAAAAGGATCCAATTCAGCTAAACTATATTTCGTTAATAGTACATGGGAATAACTGACATTCAAGTCTAAGAATTGATTTTATACTACATGGCGACATGATCATACCTTCTCGTCTACCAGAAAGCTCTTGTAAAATATAGCACTTTTTTTTCAAAATGCTTGTAGTTTCCAGATGATCAGCTATGTCGCTCATGTTAGTGAAAATTCAAAGTATCTTTCTAAGAAAGAAATGAATACAAAAAAAATCTAAGCAAAAATCTTAGTACATTGTAAGTAGAAAAACGAAAGAGAACTAATTCATTTTATCGAAAGAGTTTGCAATTTCTATTATGTTTTTAACAAATAGTTTTGAGAAAAATTATACAGAGAACAAAAAAAAACTATGACAGCTGTACAATAGGAAAAAGAAAGAACTAGCGTTCATTTATTATCGCTAATCCATCATTTCTGAGTTTTCGTTGTTTTTTTTCTTCTTTTTTGTGAATTCTAAAACATTTAAAATTAGTACAAAAGTCGGCCCTTTAGAAAATGTTTAAAAGTACTTTTAAACGAGAGATCTATACATCACATCTCACATACCGAATTTGCTATTGTCGCTTCATTCGAATTTTGTTCCTCATCGCTACTACTATCTTCATTTCTCTTTCCTCGTGATGTTGATCGTAAACGTAGTTTTGCTGGCGTTTTGATTTGTTCGGTTCTTCTTGTTTGTCTACGAGATGTTTCTGTTTTTGTTGTTGTTGTTGTTATTTGATCAATATTTTCACTACTAGTGTTGATTTGCATTCGCCTAGTAGAATATCGTGTTTGATAACGTACTTTTGTGTCGGTTTGTGGTGCTGGTGCCACATTTTCTAGAAATTTAAAGCAGATAAGAAATACAACTGACTCAAAAAGAGATGACAAACCATTGTCACTATTATCGATTGGTCGGACGGTACGTCGTGTTCTTCTCTTATCTGGAAAAATATCTTGAATATGCGGTGGACTTTTAAATGTTTTTCTTTTATTGACAGATGGCTTTATCGTTTCACTATCATCCGTTCTGACTTTGAGCGCTGTTGATGGTCTTGTTTGACGACGATCGGAGAATATATTTTGCTGTTGTTGTTCTTCTTCAGAAACTTTCTGATTTTCCATCGACATACTTTCTTTGCTTTTTTGTCTGAAAATATTTGTATTTTTTCATTTATTAGCAACAAAAATTTGCATACTCACTCTTCTAACGTTGCATTTTTACCATTTGTTACAAGTACCAAATCAGTTTGATGAGAAGAGGCTAAAATAGTCCAAATGCATAGTGAAAAGGTACCAATTTTTATATTAAATGAAAGTACTTACATTCTACGATGGATGGCTTAATAGTGGCTCTTCGTTTTTCTTCCGATATTGTTGGTCTCAAGTATTCAGATTCGTCAGATTCATCTGTCTCGATTGTGATTAAAAACGTTTTACCAAGTTTATTATTTGGTCTTCTGCTTGTCATTTCTTGTTGATCCTCAAGACTATCTTCGTTTTCTCTTTCAAATTCTGTTTTAACAAAATTCACACCTATAATTATTGAAAACATAATTATTGGAACAAAATGGTAACACAAAATTCAATATACCATAGGATGACTTTCTTCGAGTGGGTAAAATCCAGTTTTTATCATCAAATTCTTGTTTAATAACTATTTTTTCAAGATTTTCTAGAGGAATAGGGTGATTTTCTATTAAATATTCGTTACCATTATCAACATCAACAGCTTGATCATTTTTGGCTGATTGATCATTGAATGGTATTGGTTCCTTTAATGTTTCATCTGCTTCAGTGTTATTACTATGTATACTTTTATCGTTTTGAGACGATAACGAATCGAAGAATAAATGATTCGATTTTTCTTGCTTAACATTATCACTTTGAACTGGGGGAGTTTCTGATACATGAATACGAATTGATCTGTCGGCAGTTAATAATAATGATTGTCTATCATTTTTATCACATGGATTCGAACATTCATCCAGCTCTAGCGTAGTTTTGTTTTGAATTGTATCATCGTTCTGCTCTTCTTCGGTTTCATCTTTGTCTATCACTGATTTAATAAAAAATGTTTTATCCTTAACCGATGACGATGTAGAAACTGTTGATAATGGCTCTTGTTGTATTTCTGAATGATTATTTGTATTCATGGGCGATTCTTCATTCAAGTTGTTATTACAAATACTATAGCGCTCATTCTCAACTTTTGACATCACTAAATTTTCATGAGAACTTATTTGGTTTTCCTGTAGTTCATTTTCCTCGATAATGGTTGTTGAAGGTGAGTCGTTTCCCAATAATGATTGATCAGTGATTGATTCACTGATATTCAATTGTGGTAATTGTTCCGTGGCCAATTTTGATAATCTTAAACGTGTTTCTAAATGAATAAAAAATGGACGATGAGTTCTTTCATAGTTTGATTACTGCACACACTTACTTCTTAATGTACGATTTAGTAATGGTGTAAGAGTTTGTGAATTCTAAAAAATGCTCCAAATAAAAAATAATTCTAAGAGATGGCTAACAGAAATACTTACGAGTAGTTGTGACACATTATCTTCATCTTCTTCCTCGTCAATTGCATGTAAATCTTCGGATGGACTTTGTTTAACTGCGCGTGGTAGAGTTTTATACGAACGCACATCTCCAGGTATGAGTAGTTTTCTTAATAAGTATAATTAAAATAACTTTTTAACAAATAGACTTACTTTTTTTAGTACACGATAAAACTGTATACATCAAGTAATCAAAGAACGACTCACTAATCTCTTTAGAATACTAAAACAATGTTCTTACTGATTTAATAATGCATGAATTTCTTTCCAATGATCAGCTTCTTCTTGAACAGCTTCGATTATTTCTGCACGCCGTTTATCAACAAATGTACGTAAATTCTCCATCCTCTAAAAATGAATACGAGATGGATTTCTTTTTTTTTGTTTGTTTGACTTACTTTATCAAAATAAGTCTCTAATGATTGTGATGCTAATTGTGTCATGTTATCAAGTATTTCTAATTTTTCTTGATGTCTTTTCAATTGACAATCATGACGATCAATTTCATGTCGTATTTCACTATTTCTTTGTCGAAGATCTTTCGTTTCTTTTCCAATTTCATCTAATCATAGACAGAAAACCAGATTTTTAGAAAACTATTTCTTGATACTCGAAAAAAGAACTCACTTAAAATACTAGTAATGATAAGACGTTTAGCCGCTTTCAAAGCCGATTTTGATTGTTTAAATTGTCGGCGATTCCACACAGACTTTTGTACATACAGCGTTTGGTCATTTCGCGATGCCATGAAATCTGAACAAATCAACATATTCCAGTAAATTTTGAAATGCAGTCTCACAGTTTCAAACTTTTGACAAACTGCGAGATATTTCAACTACACTTTCTACATTAAAGACAATCCGGTTTTTAAGCTGGACGAGATAAAAAAAGAACAATGCAAACTAACCGTAGCTTCCCTTGTCTCATCGATTGTCACTAAGTACAAAAAATGCGATACATTTATTGGTAACCCATACAGTGCGCCTTTGTGTCAAGTTCGAACGAATAGAAAAAGTGCATAGCGTCTATGACTAGATGGTGCTTACTGACATTGCTTCAAGTCAGGAAAGCGATATATTTCATACAGTGAGCTGGATGAAAAAAGTGGAAACGAACTTTAACAAAGAGCACAATGCAAAATACTCGTTATTTCTAAGTATTTTTAAAAGCGAAAGAAGGTTTGTAGAGTTGCATGAAAACTATTGAAAAAGAAGAAATAAACATGAAAAAGTAATCTTTTAAGTGGCTTCTCTTCGGAAAAAGATTCCGAAGGCAAACAATCGAACAAAAAAAATCATGTTTACATTCCTGATCAGAAAAAGCGAATGTGAAGAGGTCTCTATACTCCATTTTAATCCGTTCGCTGACGAAGTCTTCTTTTATTTCTCCTAACCAATTAAAATTCGAAAATTAGTCCTAGTGAATGAATTACTATACTCTCACAATCTCAATTAATTAACGTGCTAATTAACAGAAAATTTTAGTAAAACTGGGAAGAAACTCGATGTTTCAAAGACTGAGTATATTTTTCATACTAACGAACCTTGAGATTTTTCGGTTAGGTTTGAAAATTGATCACCTCTGTGATTAATCTCTCAGTTGAAGCCAATTTATTAGAACGGTGTTTTATTATTCAACAGTAAGTGTGATGTCCCATATTAGATACAAAGGTGATGGAAATACAAACTCATCTTGTTTGTTACAGCTTTATACTGCAAGTAGCTTTACTTTTCTGGCGCTACAATCTATGCATTACTCCATTTCCGATTCGGAGTTCGTACTGCATGATACCATTTTAGTTGATGTTGATCATTCAAGTGTCATTTCAATAAAAATAAGAAAGAGGGCATCTGCTCTATAGCGTAGTGTTTAGGATTCACGCTCTAGAAAGCTGCTTTCATTATTTTATTGAGTTGAGAGGCTCAAAGGTCTCATGTTTGTTTTTCCAGTTCGTCTTCTATTTTTCTTCATAAAATGACGTTTCCCAATTTGTATTTTCCTTTTAGTTTTCCATACCGTCGTACTTCAATTCACCATACATTACTTAGTCCATGACTTTCTCTTGTAAGACATATGTATGTTCCTTTATCCTTATTTTTTAGATAAAAATTTTGTTTTTTTCCGCTTATGACGTGATGTGTGCGATGAAAAGGTACAATATTTTCAAGGTGATATGGATCATTATCTCATGTTCCATTTTCACATTTTCTTCTAGAGATGACAAAAAGCTATGCCACCAAATCACGAAATCGTTGAAATTAGTTTAACATGCGAAGGAAACTTTCTTGATCCCACATTGAAGCAAAAATTATATGATATCAAAGATAAATTGCAGCATATTTTGCATACTGGTAATGTGAACATTTTATAATTCTAACTGATATATATATATGTTTGACTCTTTTTTTGGTTTCAGGTCGCCATCAACATTTCGAACTGAAGAAAATTGAACCTTGGAACAGTGTGAAAGTCACATTCGACATTCCCAAAGAAGCTGCTGATCGCCTAAAATTGCTCGCTATTCAAGGAAATAAACGTCTGAAAGAACTGGGCATATTGTCTGTTGAAATTGGTCATTCATCCGCTATTTCATTGAAACAAAATGATAATACAACAAATACGAACAGTAAGTTATTTGGTTACTTGGCGAAGCAACTACCTACAATGCTAGTTCTAAAAACCAATTATCTTATTCAGCGCTCTCAGGATGCATGAAAGCGTGCCTATTTCTATGCACTATTTATTTACTTTTTTAGGTATTGATTCACAACGAAAATTTTCTCCTACCTCAAAAAATATTGTTGGATTATTATGTGACAATTTACATCACTCACTTTCTACACCATCGGCGACTTCCTCAACGACAGAATTGCCATATCTGGGCGTCAGCAATGACACAATCTCAACCGGACGAAGAAAAGGAACAGATCAACAACCGACTCAACGTCGCCGTACAAGGGACCCGTCTACAACAACAAAGCGAAGAAAGCGGACGAAAGCATCCGATTCAAATGCCCAACAAATTACAACTGCTAGTGATTCAAAATTATCTACAAAAGCAATGGTTCAGGCGTCTACTTCCGATACAGCAATTTATAATAATAACAATAATAATACACTATTATCGGATACTTGTAATCAATCGTCATCTTCTACGAACATTGATCAGTATATTAATTCGAACAACAAATCAGGAACAGTATCATATCCAACTAACTCAGGAGCAATTCATGGTCAGCATCAACATACTCAACGAACAACAACAAATGATATTAAAACCGTTTGTCCACAACAGAATTCAGCACTCTCACCAACATTCACCAGGCCATTATCAACAGCAGGAACAAATCAAAAATTTCAATATATTCACAAACGAACGAATTCTCTATCACCCACACAACATCAAACAACATCAGATGATTTATCGGTTAGTGGACGACCAATGCAGATAGGAAGTACACCAAGCTATCACTCTCCCCATCCCCAACAACAACAGCAACAGTTTCATCATCCGTTACATCCTCATTTACAGCAACATAATATGCTTCCTTCTCACACACAACAAAACCAACAAAAAACAATGCCAATGCCAACATATAACTCCTCTCATCCAAATAACCAGAATGCAACAGGTGTTTATGTTAGAAATAATAGCCAGCCATCACAAACAAGTCCATGCTCGATGAGGCAAAACAACGTCACTACTAATATGGGCTCGTATATGAATAATGCTGAACTCGCACGTATGTAAACTATTTTCAAATTGAAATAGGGTTTATTTATACATACTGTTTTTATATGTACTTTTAGGCAAACAGAATTTGTCCCGTTCAACTTCGGCAAATTATACGAACAATAACGATATGAATTGTAATAATGATCTGTTAAATAACGATGTATGGCTCTCCTATCCTGATCAACAACAACATCCCATTTATAAAACAAAATTAAATGGTATGCATATGTCACCTCCATCATCCACAATGTCAATGAATACACCACCGTCGCTTGATTATATTCGTACGTTACTACCCAATAATAATGCATTAGTCGATCCACAACAAGGCGGAAATCTTTTATTAGCTTCTCCGCTTGGGCAAACAAAGTATAGTGGCGTTTCCTCATTGTTTTGTAAACACCAACAAAATTCATCATACGGTATGATGTTACCATCACCGAATACGAGACCAGTCTGTTCAGTACCGTCCTCGAATTTTAATCCAAATAATCCTTCATCGATGTTAATGTTAAATACCACAAACACTGGACGTACGTCAGCCAATTCAGTCGTGGGGGTTTTTGGTAAGGATTGATATTAAGACCTTTGTTCTATCGAGAAAAGTATTGTTCGATAATCGGGATTAAGTTGACCAGAATCTTTTTCTAAGCGTTGAAATTTTATCGTCACATTTCTTTCATTATCTCTACACTTTTTTTCCTCTTTTAGATGGTTCTTCTAATCAGACCACAGGTTTCTCCTAGATTTAACAGTGATTGGTTTACTTTGTTAGAAATGTAAGTTTTATTTTATTATTTTTTTCAATGAGTTATCTACTGTAGAAGATCCTCAAAAATTTGGTTGTGTGTGCGACAGTCACTTTAATCAAGTACGACATTTCGAATATCGTTGGAATTTTGAGTTATCGTGAAAGTTTTAAAAATCTTAATTTCAATCAAAAAACCTTGAACTATGCAGAAGGTTCTTCATTGATGACAAGTTTCTTCATTTTAATTGTTGTCTCGTGTTGAAGTGCAGAAAAGAATGAATTTTATTTGCTTTTATTCGCTTTTCGTCAGAAAATGTTTTCGGCTTTGAATTACATCATTGCCACCTTTATTCTTTTTTTCGATTCTGCCGTTCAAAACAAACAAAAGAAAAGAGCAAGATTTTTATGCAAGTTCATTCTACGCCTTCAGAAATATATTCTTGAAGGCGGCCATTTTTGGATGGCTGCATGCAAAGATCGGATTCCGGCTGTTTTTTTGGCCAAAAAGCTAAAATTTGGAAAGCAGTAGAAAAAGATCTAACGGAAAGTGATCAGCAAGGAAACACATACGCTGCATCCTGTCTGACCCAGTAGAGCAAGTAGCATTTTTTGACGCTTGGGCAAATGTCTATTGCACTTATGCCACTGATATCATGCTATGTGGGTGTCAAGTCTGCATTTCACGATCTTATAATCTCTGATGGCGATGTGCGAGATTTCAGACAAAGCAACATTTAGATGGCGAACGAAGTACATGAAATTTTTCTATTGTGACTGTACATGTAAAAAGTATGGTATATCGAGTTCTGCAAAACAGACACTTTATATTTGCACCTTACAATTTGAGGTTATTTTTACTGTAGCGCAAGAAACTCCTATCTTTCAATTATATACTTCATGTATACTCAAAAGTTCATTATCGCGTCTTTTACAAACGTTTCATTGTCCTTAAACTTTGTAAACGCTATCGTTGATGTACAATCCGCTACGATGCTGATGTGATGCGATTACACGATTGATGTAGCCGTAAATAATACCACTATTGGGTGGCTACAATTAACTTGTTATACATTTTATGGATGATAATAGTTTTATAAGTGTAAAAATTGAGATCTTTGAAAGTGGATATAATTGGTGCATCGGGGGGTAGTCCAAGATAACAGTGATGGTTAAGTTTTACTTTCTCTATTTTTAGTTTTCGGCTATTCTTATTAATCTTACCTTACTCTTTGAATATGTCTGTACAACTCCATCGGACAACAGTGTGTGGATATTCAATCAAACATGCTTCTTTTTTATCCTATTCTGTTATTATAAACATGTAAATATATTTATACTTAATCGATAATAGAACCAAAACTATTGAACACAATCGTATATTAGTTTGTGTCGGACCTTACAACTTGACTGAATAAAGTGGAAAAAATTCAGTTTTCGTTTGTGCCTGTTTTTCTGGTGTATTTTATGTGTGTTTTTATTTTCCTTCTTTTTTGTTTTTTTATTATTGCACTGTGTTTTTTTGTTGTGATTTTTTTTGTTTTTTTATATCAAATGAACAAAAACTTGTTGCTGTCATATCTCTTCAAAAGCTACACGTCGATTGGTTTATTAGAATCTGTGGAGCGCTCGAGTGTAAACAGATAATCTCGCCGTTGCGTGGACGTGCTTCAATTTTAATAACAGTTTTGCTTATACATGTGTTTTTTTCTTATTGTTGTTGTTGATCGTGCTTTTTTTCGTGTACAAAGCTTTTTACTTATAACGAGTGTAGTAAACAGAAATGAATCCCACCGGCGCACCCGTTTGCCGTTTAAACGAGTTTCTCTCTCTCTATCTTATGTCATGTATCATTCCAAATCATCCTATCTATTTATATACTGCTTCTTTCTCTTGTATTGATCCCGCCATTGTTCGATTTTTCTAGAAAGTCTAAATGTATTTGTTGTTGTTCAGGACTCGCGAATGTTGCTGTTGTTACTGATAGACACTTGTGTTCATTTTCAAGTGTCTCTGCTTTATTTTGTTATCTGCCATAAACTGTTTTTGTTTTTTCATTTGTTGCCTTTTTATCATCCCATCTATCTTCTCCGTGTTTAACATAGACACATACATACTTCCAATCACTTGTATATACATGATGATGATACGATATCTTCAAACAAATTTTTCTATTATTATGTATTAAATATTGTTTTTCGTTTAAGAAAACAAACTTGGAAGTACCACACACACACATATACACACACATACACATACTCATGTTAGAGTATTTACCTATATCTGTCTTTTTGTATTTTGTTTTTATTCTAAACAACTTTTTTTTTTCTTTCTCTGTGCGATTTTTTTTTTTGTCACAAACGATAAAAAATAAATTAGTTCCTTCATTGATTTGAACTGACAAATGAATCATTTGAAACAATTTGAGTATGTCTATATATATAGAAAAAATATCCAATAGAATTATAGAAATGTATTTCCAATAGTTTTCTTGCAAAATCAAACATCTAAATTAGTTATCTTAAAACCTACGTTTATCGAACGAATTATTATACTCCTTTGATCCTAATAGAAACTTAATACAAATTTCCACAATGTGGAAAAACAGTTACAACTTGTTGCCGATATGTGATCGTAACCCTTTTTTGAAATAATCGTCTTATTTTTATTGTTGCTTTTCTCTGTTAAATCCTCTTAAACAAAGTGGTTAACTTGCTTTAGTCTTTCTCTTACACACAAATCCACACACACACACACGCGCACATAATAAATAAATACGAGAATATATAATACAAGTAAACAAGAAAAAGAAATGAGCAGAAAAAAGTAAATCATTTTTGTTTGTTTCTTTTGCGCTAGAATTTGTTAAAAAACCAAAATATGAAAAACAAAATAAATACGCACTATACAAATATAACGATTTACTACGTAACTTTCTTCCTGCTTACAGAAGAAAATTAATAATACATGAAAAAGAAAGAATAATTATTCTTTCTTTAACATCAACAAATATTAACAAATTAAAAAAAATCGTCACCATGATCCCACCATCGCTCATATAACTGTTTATTTGTTACAAATTCGAAAAAAAAAAAAATATTTGAGTCTAAATGCTTTAAATACTCAAACTCAATACAAGCAATTTAATCATTGTGAATTTCTCCATTTTTTAATGACGAAACGGCGAAGTTGTATTGTTTCAATGGGAAAAATGGTAAACACGATGTAACAAATGTAGATGATATTGTGGATGAAGCAGATGGTGATACAGCAAGAGAATTTGATGAAGTCATTGACAATGATGTAACTGGAAGAACTGATGGCGTTGTATTATTATTATTCATTGTAGATGCTACCGTTTCAATGACAGACGCTGAGGATGTCTCCATGCTTGGCAAAAGTGATGATTCATGAACTATTTGGGATAGTTGACGTCTAAATAAAAGAAAAACAATAATAAGAGTTTACATTTTGCCGTAGTTAGATTAGAATAAGCAGTTTGCTAGAAAAAACATAAAAAAAATAGTTTGAAGTTTTGCACAAAGTGAAATAAAGCATAGAGCTAACTTCGACATACACGAAAGCTTTCAAGAAGAAACACATTGCGTCTGCTAACATTAAAAGCGATCTAATGTTGTTTCAATCGAAATTATCGAAAGGTTTTTTTTTAAAACAACGATACTGTACAGAAATATACAATTTTCAGAAGAGATAAAATGACAAATAACTAAATATAAAAACGTGTTCGTTTAGGTCTCCTTGCATATTAAACAAAAGACCATTTAAGTGTCTTTTGGCTTATGATAATGAGAACATAAAGCTTATTGTCACACTCCGCAAATCTAAGACTTGTTTACATTCTTGCTAATGTTTTCTAAAATTACTGTTAAACTCCAACTAAAAAGTCCATAATCTATGGGATGAAAATTCGTTAACAATGAAACTTTGAACTTTGAAACAATGAAAGGTTAAGTGATTTTTGGCGGTCTACAATTTATAATGTATTAACTTAGCATTTTATCAATATATTACTTCCTAGATTTATTCAAACTTTAGAACGCTTTAACGATGTTTGTATTTGTAGTTACTCTCATAGTTATTTGCTATCCAGAGATAGTTTGTTTGTAAATAGAAATGATAGACATTCTATTGGTTCTAGAAGCTTCAAGTGGAATATGTGTGACCGTGGTTTAGTCCGTAATTATATTGCACGGTTAATCGTTGAATGTTATCTCGTCTAGTTGTCTTAAAAGATATGTTTTATCATCATTCATTTAACCGACATCAAAAATGTCAAAATTATGTATTAATTGTAAAATTACTTTAATTTTCATCCGGTATATTACATGTATAGGGTGAATAGCTAACACTCAGCGCCACATTCTGATGTACAAATAAATTGCATAAAAGCAAAGAAGATAAATCAAAGCACCGATGATAAGACACGACAATGATAAATTGACGTTATGAAACAATTTTCAGCTATTATTTTAACTAAAACCAAAAGCAAAGTATAGTAGCACTTTTACACACACGCACACAAACTACGCTAATTAAGAAATTATCTCATTAACTAAATTATGTCTTACGTTTGTATCTGAATCTAAAACTATTGTTTCTCAGTAGCGATCAGACTGTTTACTTGAAAAATATAAATATAGAATGAAATAAAGTAATATTTTTTAAAAAAGCATTCTACTTACTTTGATTTCAATCGAATACTTTCGTCAGAAAAACTAACACTTTTTTCACTTTGAATGGGCGATCCTGCACGATTTGTATTTACTGTGATTGTTGCTGTTAAGTTAGCTGTCGGACAAGCAGAATGA